CAAATTAAAGGTCCCTTGGTGGTCTAAAAGCGATAAGAGTAGGCTTCGGTCGCCACCCAGGCAAAATTCAAAATTTCCTACCAAATGTTAAAAAAAATATCAGTCTCTAGCAATGGCACTGAACTTGATGACGAAGTGCCTTCTGATTTAGCCGTAAATGCATCTCACAGTAAAAACAGAATGAAAAAAGATTTAAGAAAATTCAGTTTGCCATGATGATAACTGCACGTATGTGCCTAGATCTACTCTAGCATACTTGTCAATTTGCTCTGCATGTTGCTTACATTGCTGGTTTTGTGTTGTTAAGATTGACAAAGCGTTTGAAAATGTGAAACCTGCATCGGTGCCTTTGTTGACTCCAATGTGTCAAAAGTAAATTCCTTGCTGTTTTTTTAAGTCTCGTCGGAGGTTCGACAGTGCCTTCAAAGAATGTCATTGAAGTGTGTTTGGTGTGTGAATAACATTTTTGATGCCATGTGTCGTCTGTCTGTGCATGGGGTGTGACATTGTCAAGAGTGAAATGTCATAAATTAGTGCAATCTGTTTTGAAAATCTTCTTATTATAAGCCTATCATTTCAAATTCTCTATTAATTGTTCAATACCCTTAACAGTATTTTGTAAAATTTAGATAAAGTGTCTTGGTGTTTTAAAGGTGGCCCTCCCTCCTCGCTTTATTTGGGGGGGGGGCTGTTTTATTCTTGTTTTTGTGTGGGGGGGGGGGGGGTAATTTCCACCATCATACTTCACTCTTATCTGCCTTGCCCTCTCCTTCCTCATTCTTCGCCCATCCCATCCCACCCTCACTACCATCTTTTGTGTAATCATTTTCAATTTTGTTAGAAATATATTCTGTTGTAAGTTTAAGTCAAGAAGACTACGTTTTTGTAAAAATAATGTCAGTGATGACATCATATTGCACTGATGAAGTTCTATGACCGAAAAGTCTGCAAATTTTGTTATCCCGTTTATATTTTTGTTTTGATCCTTATTATCCCTATTTCTTCTCTAAAACAAGTTTTTAAAAATTATCTTACCGTCACAATGTGTATACATAGTACATGTATTACCAGATGTTCGACTGAGTGAGCTGGTAATTTGATGCAAGTAAGATTTCTTACTGTCATTATATTGTTACTATCAAGAAGTCTTCGTTTTTGTAAAAATAATGAAGTTCGACTTCCAAAAACTCAGCAAATGTTATTATCCCGTTTATAATTTTGTTTTGATCCTTATTATCCCAATTTTGTCTCTAAAACATGTAAAACAGAATATCTTACCATCACAATGTGTATACATAGTACACGTATTACTGTAAATATTCGACTAAATGAGCTGGTAATTTGATGCAAGTAAGATTTGTTAACATCCTTATTACATTACAACTGTACGTGAGTGCTTATAATGCTGTAATTAACATTGACAAAGACATTTTGAGAGACAATGGAGTCCGAGCAGCTTGTTTTGAAAGGAGATTACGCTGCGTACGCTGCATTGTTTTGAACTTACAAAGATGGCGGCAGGCCCGATAAGCTCCGCCCTTTCGGCTTCAACTTGGTTGGAACTGTTGAGCGGGCAACGCAACGTTAGGGCCTCTCCCTATATAGTTACTCCAAGGTTAAAACAGCCAATCTTCTTCGTACAGGTGGACACACGCCCTTATTTGTTAATTTTTGTGGTTGTTTATGGGCTGTTCTAATTTTGATTTCATTCTGTTGTGAAACCTTTCTTTTTCACGTTTTTACACTCGGCTAAAAATCTCTAGACTAGCTCTTGAAAATTGAAATAGATATAGACCCAAAAATTTGCTCGTGTGTGTGTGTATGCTTATGTGCGTGTGTCAGTGGTGTCAGTGTGTCTGTGTGTGGTAGTAAGTGTGTAAGTGGAGAGTGAGGAGTGTGTGTGTGTGTTTGTTTTTCAGGCTTTATTTCAGCCTTTATTCAGTAACAGTTCAAAGTATACAAAAATAGAAACACAGAATCCTTTCACTCCAGGGCTCATGAGTCGTTCCTCTCTTTCAGTTTCACTCATCCATTCAATTCCTGTGTTCTCTCACGCGATTCATCCCCGTCCGCATGACTTTCACACCCCACCCCCTCCCTCCAGGCACACACAAAGAAAATCTCACTCATTCCCTTGCACCCTGCGAACCATGGACAATAATATAGGCAAGATAAAACGGATAAAACACTGCCTTAGTGCCCTTAGCCACATTCCTTTCGTTCATGAGCTGTGGGCCAGGCCGGGGGCGGGTCGGTGTCGTCGTCTTGTAGTAGTAGTTGCTGTCTCCTGTGGACAAGCTCGTACATTCTTCCTTTCACCCACTCTTTCACTCACACTGTCTCTCCATCCACAGCTCAGCTCATCATACGTTCAAAAGTTGCCCACTGGTCATGTTTAGTTAGTGTGTGTTTAAGTTTGTGTGTGTACACATATGCATGATGGTGGTGGGTGTGCGGTGAGTGTTACTGAAGGGTGTATGTAGGTGGGCTTGCCATGCGGTGTTCCTTCACAGACCAGAGGCAGAATGAAAGTTGGCGCCGAACTCTCGCAATAAATAGGAAAAAAATCACAAGGCCGGAAACCGTTCGGAGAAATAAAAATCGGCACTATAAATTTAGGCCTGAATAGCCAGAAATGGCATACTTAGGATGCTCTGAAACCAAAAATTCTCAAACCTGAAGTTCAACTGAGTTTTTGCAGTTCATACTCGTTATCCATTCTAATGTTTGGTCCTATTCATTTTCAAAGTAGAGCATCCATTTTGAAAGGTATTTTTAATAAAAATAGATCTAGACTCTAGATCTAGAATCTAGATCTAGATTGAGTTTTAGAATTTGAGATTAAATTTCGAGATCGTGACTAATTTTATTGTCATTGTAAGTTTGGATTCTGCAGAAATTTATTTTAGTCATACACTTTTGATGTCCTGCCCCCTTAGGAGTTTTGTTTTTTTTTGTCAAGGAGTGGCCACACGCGTGGTTTTGGTCTAAGGTTAGAGTTCAAATATTAGGGCGGCATAGAGGTTTTCAAACCTCCCAACTTGTCCTTCTCTTTAAAAGTCAAACCAGGGAAAGTGCTTTTTTTTTTTATAGTATTAGAGATTATTCCTAATCTGGCTCCTTTCTAATTGTCATTTGTCCTTTCTTTACTTTGAGATTGGAGACTGATGAAAAGCACGTTTAGTTTGGACACCGGACAGTTCACTACCTTGAAATGTAAGAGGGAATCCTGAAGCAAAAATGAAATCTTTTGACCAGTTGTTGAGTTATGTTGAGTTATTGAGGGACAGTGGAATCCGTAGTCTAAATGTTTTAGTTACAAGTGAAAATCCTTTTTGTACCGTTGTTCTGTACTATAATTGAAGAAAATGTTTTCTGTGAAGTAGAGTGTGTGTTTCAACTCTTTCACTTCCTCTTTTATCTGCTTAAACTGCTGACCCAGTTTTATTGCTGTGTCACTCTGATAGAGATATGCATTTTTAAGTCAACCACACACTTGAGTTGCTTCAGCATTGCATTTATTTTATCAGTTATCTCTAATAGGTGTTTTACCTCTCTTTGAGCATTATATAATATTATGACTTTCACAAAATATAAAGTGACAACAAGGAGAATGCATTAAAAAAGATTTGACCTTCTTGTTGTAAGTTAGTAAGTTTGTTACCTCCTCCGTAAGATCTGACCTGTGCGTTAATAGAGCCCAATTAATAATTATTTCACAGGAGCCCAGAGAATAATGCATGCAGAACATAAAATTCTGATCAAATAAATGACAGTGCATTAACAGTGGACGACTTGTGACTTGTGTGTTGCACAACAGTACTCTTGCTCTTCCTGCCTAACAGAACTGCTCTTCTTGAGTCTTTATGTTTTTAATGGCAATGATTCAAACCCTGAATGTGGACAACCTTTCTCCTAAGAAAGCATTTGACAACGGAATATCGTTGACTGCAAAATGACATCTTGGTTAGGAAGCTTTTTTTTTAAACTGGAAAAACTGAATCATTAAATAAATGTGTAGAAACTTAGCGGGTTCTCTTTTATATTTATTATTTTAACCCTGGAGGCGCGCAGGCCCTATTAAATTTAAAGGGCGTGAGCCAGGCTACCCGGGAAGCGCGCTGGCCCTATATAAAGGGCATAGACGCAGGTCTTTTTCAATAGAAAATTTCAGTATTCCTTATTTGGAAAATTATGTAGTAAATTACAGGTCAAAGTTATAAATACTGACCAATGACTTTTCCAAGATATCTTGACCTCGTACAGCGTCTCTTAGCCAAGATATAGATTATTAAAGTGACGCGGTCCAGCTGAGTGACTACACGCTATGTGTTATTACTTGTTTCGCGGTGCTAATATATTTACTAATTGTTGAGTTTACATCGCTTTTAGCTCTTTGTTTGTATTTATTTGATCACTTATCATTTTTGAATGGCTCATTCTATCAGCTTTAAGAAAAGATGTGGTTTTATGCCTTTTATCATCTGTTGAGCCATAAATGGTCATTTTTCAGTAGCAGGTATACATCTCTGGTATCTCAGCTGATATCCCCCTGCCAAACACCCATCATGTTTACAACCAGTCTGCCGTGGCAGCTGGGCTTTTTTGGTTGGTTACTTTCGGTGAAACGCTGAGTGCTTCTAGGGTTGAAGTCATAAAATTTGGTTTGTTTCATCATAGTGTACATTAGGTTTGGACCATTTCACATGAAGTTGCTTGGCCTATTGTGTGATTATCAATTATTTTATATTTTTTGCTTTATATGACTATTTGGATATTGATGTGGGCTGGTTAGCATTTTTACTTTTATGAGAATTTTGCAGTGTTTCTACACCAGGAGAAAAGAGACTCATTGATTCTGAAAATTTGTGAGTAAATGTGTGTGTGTGGGGGGGGGGGGGTTGCATCAAAATCATATAGTATAGGATAATTTATTTTTTTGTTTTCATGCCATTGAAAAATATTTCCATGGTTACAATGGAATTCTTTTCTTATTTCAGGCACACATGAAATTTCCACCAGATTACCCTTATTCCCCTCCAAGTGTGCGCTTCATCTCAAAGATGTGGCATCCAAATGTGTATGAGGTAAGTTAGGTTTTTATAATGATATATTTGGAGCATCACGGTGAAATCTGTTGCTTGTCAAAATAATGAAATCAAAGATACTGACATGTTTTCACCTGTTGGGCAACTTTGATCACCTTTTTCGTCATTACCTCAACACCTTTTATGTCCATTTAAAAACACATTGCTGAATAGATTTCATTGAAAAGGGTTGATGAAAGGCACAAAAAATGTAAATTTGCAGTTTCCAAAGACACTTCTGTCTACAGCTTTGAAAGTCACCAAACTCTTTTTATTTGGTTGCAATGGCAAGGGGAACTTGTTTTTAAACTTTGGCATCAATGGAAAGATATGTAGGGGAACATTCAAACAAAACAAATCTTGGTTTGAAAAAAAAAAAGATGTTATAGGTTGTAGGCAGTCTCTTTCCCCCAGGCAAAATTTTCCTTACTTTTCAGCCTCAGGTGTTGGAAGCACTGGTTGTAAATTTTGTTTCTAGTTATGAGGCATGTTCTTGCAGGGGGGGTAAAAATCAGCATTATTAATGAGAGTGTAATCGGAGATCTCAAACTCAAATTACCTGGGAGCAGCTGGGGGTAGATTCTGGGTGAGCCTGGCTGCATCAAGTATTTCACACAAAGAAAATCTCTCAAGTATTTCTTAAAAAGAACAGCTTTGAAATCAAGTTTTTAATTTTTAAGCTGTAACAAACCTGAGCTTGGGTCATAAAAATACCAAAACCCAAGGCAACATCTCGGCAAAAAGGTCATTTCGAGAAAAACATGGCTGCACAAACACATAACTGTGATTCAATTAGGGGCTGCAAAATATCGTCCTGCGGACTGCAATCTGGGTTCTGCTAGTTTGGAGCACCAAGTGTAATCATTTAACTAAAATTTTATTTTGTCTTCTTTGACATAATGTGTTTTTTTGGTAGTCACTCTTTTAAAAATAAAATCATTTGTAATGTAATAATAATGATATCCATTTATCTTTTGCACAATGTCTGTTTGTTTTACTCTTTGGTTTTTCTTTTTTTTTTTTATCTTTAGAATGGAGAAGTTTGCATCTCCATCCTCCACCCACCTGTTGATGATCCGCAAAGTGGTGAACTGCCATCAGAACGTTGGAACCCAACTCAGACTGTCAGGTAAATTCATGAAAGATGTGTTTAAAAAACATTATTTCTTTGAAAATTATTTCAAATCCCTCACGTATGAAATTATTTTGAAGCAGAGTTACACTCTCTCCAAGTTTTGGTTAAGTGGGTTGAGAAATTTAAAAAGCCGTAGGGATTTATTTCATGTTTATTTTCGAGATGGCTGTTTTCCTTAACAATCAGGCATATACTAAAGAGTTTATGGAAAGATCTCACTATATCTAACACATGTGTGTAAATAGATTTTATCTCAGGTTCCTTGGTTAGAAAATGAGGGTCAAGGGTCGCTCCTGTCCTTAAGTAGTAAAACAGGAGCATTGGTAGGTGGTTACTGTGCATAGACCATGTTCCAGTGAATAGCAGCGTGTAATAAACTGATGTGTGATGTTTGATTTCAAAAGTCTGAAATATCTTTTTAAATTAATAAAATCAATGCAGGGCTCTCAGCATTTTTTTTATATTTTTATTTTCTCAAAAAAAGATAAAACAAAGAGATTTGAACCATCTGACATATAGCCAAGAAAAATTTCCCTCCTGGACAATAAAGTATTATCTTATCCAGGGAATACGTTTTTCCGGGGGGTTTTTTGTTATGGTCATTGTACGGTCTTAAGTCCATTCTCCGTTCATCGGATATGTTCTCCATTAACCACGCAAAAATGGTTGTGCAGGAAGCCGATTTTCCATTTTGTTCCTTATACAGACGGTGTGACACGAGGATCCATATTTTTAATCAACGGAAATACACTCCCTGAATCAAAATGCGCACGATCAACCAGATCTTAGGTTTTAATTTCAAATGTATGCCGGGCTTAGCCTTGCGGATTCAGTCTCACACTTTAGAGATATCTAGATCTAGATCTGCGGCAGCCAAAGATTATCAGTCTCGAAAAAAATTTAAGTTATTTTTACAGAAGTCTAGTGGCATCACAGCGTATCTTATCCTAATTTCAATACCCTGGAAAGGAAGTTGCCTTCTTGAGAAATAAATGCCGAAAGCCAGAACTTAATAGCATTAAATACAGCGCACAAGAGTCACAATAAAATGAGATTTTGTTATCCACTTGTAGTTTTGTTTTAAAATTGTGTTTTGACAAAGAAAGACAGCATCCCTCTAGTGTGCTTTGCAAGACGTTCTATCATGCTTACTGGTTTTTAATGTGCCTATGGTATTTCTAATGGTTGTGGCTTACAAAAGTTGTACGAAAATGTGTATTTTTGTGTTATCAGTAACTATTACAACTGGTTTCTCTTTTTCAGAACAATTTTACTAAGTGTGATTTCATTGCTAAATGAGCCCAACACATTCTCTCCTGCTAATGTGGATGCCTCCGTCATGTTCAGAAAATGGAAGGAGTCCAAGGGAAAAGAGAAAGAATACGAGAACATCATCAGGTGGGTTCCCCGAGGTCTCTGAGGTTACCACATTTGTGAATGTATGCCGTTTTAGGGTTTATGTTTGTTGACTTTTTTAAGTATAAGGTTGTGGGAGGAGGGGGGGGGGGATTCCTTGACTGAGGTGACTTTCTTCATGACGTAGATTAAGCCTGAAGAGGGTTCAGTGTGCTTTAAGATTATACTCAGACCTCTAAGTGCTCCTGAAATTTTTGACTCCGACACCAAAATTTTTCCACCGTGGCCGGCTGTTTCTGACCGACCAAAATTTTCATGCGAAATTGTCTATTTTGGCAAAGATAGGAACAGAAATGCTCACTAAGAAAATAAGAAGAAGACAACGCATTTCCGGCCGCCATTTGCATATCCCATATAAACAGAGGTGTCCGCAGACATTATACCCAGTGCCCATTGACAAGATCGGTTCGGTTTGATGATTGAGGGCGTAAAGCTATAATTGTGGCACAAACTGATCTCCCGACTCGTGGCCTCAAATGTGTTGTTTTCAAGGCCCGAGACGGAGGATCGGTTTGTATAATTAGTAAAACCGATCTCCCAATGGGCACTGGGTATTACATGATGAGCCATTATTTGAAATGGTCAGTCATCGTGTCGGTAGTGACGGTAGTATGCTGGTTTGCACAAGGAAAAGTTACGATTTTTGTGGGTGCTCTTTCAAAGTTTAGCTTTTCTTTCTGCCCGAAAAGGTTTTCTTTTATGACAAGGGCTGTTTTACAGTTTGATTTTTGTTTCTGCCGCAATTTTGATTAAAATTATTTGTGTGTTTCATTTTAACTGTGATTGATGTGATGACTTTACAATTATGCAGATTTGGAGGTAGTTCTAGACATAACTAGGTTTTTTCTTTGGAAAGATGCCTCAGCACCTTGTTTCTCAGCGTGATGATCTGAGTAGCATTGAGGCCAGTGAGAAAAATAAATTCAAGTTGACATGGCTAGAAGAAAGAGACAGCAATGGCTACCTTTCAGATTACATTCAGAAAAACATGATACATACAGCCTGGCTTGATCTCAGGTGTTGATCAGCCCCAGCCCCAGCCCCAGACACTTGATCTAAAATAATAAGCTTATAGATCTAGCTGTAGAATCCTATCACCAAGCAATATCTTAGTAAGTGTATGTTATACCCTGTTGATTTACTACTGTTTTCAATAGATTACAAGTAGTAGATTTTTTGGAGGTTTGATATTTTCCTTTTCCATGCTGAAAATGCCTCCAGGTTGCAGTTTAGGTACCTTAATTTTTTTAACAATTTTCCTGACCCCCCCTAGTTAAGCCTCGCGACGCTCGGATGCCGTGCCAGTGTCGTGGTTACACTCCTTCAGATTTTCAGGCTATTTTTTTGGGACCACTTTCACGTCTGAATACTGTTCAATTTGTTTTTCTTTTTGGGGGTGTCATTAGTTGGTCATACTTTTGTGTGTTTATCTATCTTGCTTACTTTTTCTTTTACACTGAATGACAGTTGTGTCGGCATGTTCTCTTTAATTTAAAAAATCTTTCCTTTTTTTTTTTCTTTGTAAGCTACTTTCATGTAACACCTAATCATTGGCACTTTTATGACCTATTTGTGTTGCAAGTACTATAAAACTCTCAATAAAGCTTAACTAAACAATATAGGTCTATGTGTTTGTCTGTGTTCATATAAAACTGTCTTTCATTTGTGCAGCAAGCTTCCTTAACTCTTTTATTTCTGTGGAGGGTAAACTCAATATACCGAGGCTCATTTTTGGTACTTAATCTATAAATGACGAAAACATCACTAAATTGGTCATTAAATCAAAACAAGTGAACCTATTTCGATAGTTCTTCATCTTATGAATGAAATCCCGATAAAAGAGACCTGTTTTCGGAGTAATTTGATGTCGAAGTTGTCGTAAAGGAACGTGCCCGAGCCGCACAGCAGTTCAGACGCTGGGAGCGGCTTGCCAGAGATAAAGAGTTAACATGATCATAACAAAAATGTTATTAGACAGTATGCTTGAGCACAGTGTTGTATGAATCAGCAGTTGTCAAGATGTGGTATTCCGAGACTTCGCTCAAACTTCTGATCAAGGCTAACAATGGTTTCAGTTTGATTTGTGTTTTTTTGTTGGGGGGGGGGGGTGGTTGGTAAGTGATTTACGGCGGTGCTCGCAGCTTCATAAGTTTATATGAGCGTGAAGGACACATTAAACATTTTTCAGTCGGTAGGAAATTTTTTATTTTGCCCAGGTGGCGGCCAAAGCCTACTCTTATCGATTTTAGACCACCAAGGGATCTTTAACGTGGGCAACTTGCACACAGGACCTCCAAGGTTTTTCACCCTTATCCGAGAAGGCTAGTTGTAGATCTTACCTACCGTAAGATCAGGAGTGTGGCTGCAAGACAGCAGTAAGAAGGTTCCAGGGAGAAGCACTAGAAAGGCTGCAGAAAGAGTCGGGAGCCCAGAGGGAGGGGCAAAGGAGGTGAAGGGATGGGGGCAGAAGGTGGAGATAAAAGCAGACCACAGAACATTGTTAGAGAGCTAGAAAGGGTGTGAAAGGAGAACATTTTAGAGAAGAAAATTTTCCATCGCTATCCGGATTAGAACCCGAGACCTATTAACTCATTCGCTACGTATTATTTTCGGCTTGTGGACGAATTTTTTTCGGGAGGGCGAAATGAGATGATAACAAGTGCGCAGTTCACAGGTCTTGGGGGCCATAAATTCAAATAAATATCAACATATTATATACCAACATTTTCAGTATATGGTTTGTAGAATACATCTGTAATGTTTATTTGTGTATTTTTCAACTTTGGTTCCTGTAAGAGGCGGTTATGCAACACAATTGTGATTAGCTGCAGATAAAATTTGAAAACAAAAAATTAATAATCTCGGGTGAAACTCAAAAAATATGTTTGCACCTTTTCAAGAGATACATCAAGATAACCATAACTGTATATAGAACAGGAAAATATTGGAAAATGAGCAGTTATTTACATACATTCCATAATATTTGCACATTTGGATCATAACCTCCGATATTGAAAAAAAAAAAAATTTTTATAAATTTGAAAAAAGGATCCCAAACAGAAAAAACACTCGTATCTAATATGGAATTATTCAGAATTGCATTTGGAATAAACCTATACATGTCTTGGGTGGTACTTTTTTTTAGTAATTTCACCAAAAAGTAGTGATTTTGGGGAGAAAAAAATATTTTGACTATGTAGATCTAGCACTCAAAAATATTGATTTCTCAATTACAGTGCACTGGCAATTTGAGTCCAGTAGTAACAATATTATAAAGAATAGTCCTACATTTCTTTAGTGAGCAAAATAATGATACATTTTGTTGTGTAAAAGTACTAAGACTGATGTCTGGGCTATAATTTGAGCTTCGCGATTAAACAATGTCGCATAAACTTGGAAATCGTGTTTCAAAACTGAATCAAAACTTCCGATTTTCTGTGGAAACGCTTGACCCGGAAGTCAACATTATATTATGACCTTTATTTTAACATGGATATGTGGATTGGAATAGAAACCAAGCTAAAATTGAACGTCGGTTCTCGAGCCGCCGGGGACGGCTTAGCGTACTGACGGCACTTAAGCCGCGCCGCCCCCCCCCCCCCCCCCCCCAACCCTCTGATATAACAATTGTTTAACTCTTTATCTATGGCAAGCCGCTCCCATCGGTTCACGGTCGGAACCACTGTGCTAGTAAGGACAGCGGCTCGGGCACATTCCTTTACGACGACATCGACATTAAATTACTTTTTGGCAATTGCCTAAAACAGGTCTCTTTTACCGGAAGTTCATTCATTAGATGAAGAACTATAAAAATAGGTCTGAGAGTTTTGATTTAATGACCTATTTAATGACATTTTTGTCATTTTTAGATTTAGCACCAAGAAAGGGCCCCGGCGTTGTGGGTTTACCCCCCTCGGAGATAAAGAATTGAGTATCATGGCTAGCAGTGTGTTTCGAGTTTGTTGTTAAGCTTTATGGGATGTATCCTCAGCCAACTGTTAAAATGTACAAAGCCCAAAATTTGGCATTTAAAAAATTTATTGCAGTTTCTTAATATATGATATTAGTTGCGTGTGATCAAGAAAGATTTGGTTGAGATTCAGATTCCAAACATTCAAGTAGTAAAAAAGAGACATAATGTAAGTACAGTTGTTAAAAGGAAAGTTTTTTTCTCTCCTGTAAGATTTTGCTTTTTGGGCATATGACATTTGAACAGCTTGCCGGCGATATGTCCATATGTATTTGTCAGGTGTGATCAGTAAATATTGTATCGGTTTCCTGATCTTTTTGTCTTCTAGGAAACAAGTGCAAGCCACGAAGGAAGATGCTGAGAAAGATCAAGTGACAGTACCAACCACGTTACAAGAGTACTGTGTCTCCTCCATTCCTGCTCATGATAATCAAGTGGATGCAGATTTCTATGATGATGATTATGTAGATGATGTTGATGATGATGAAGAAATGTACCATGAAGAGGATGAGGAGGACTCAGGCAATGAAGAATCCTGATAGCCGTCCAGAGCTGTTTTGTTGTCTGTGCCGCTTAGTTCTCTACATGTTTTTTTTTTTCCCTTGATATTTCCCAGGGTTTTAGTGTTATGGGTGGCATTTCTGTTTTCTATCTGAAGATTTATTGAGGTCATGACGACTGGGGTGTCGCAAAGCCAGTGTCCCATTATGCTCAAACTGGCTTTGTATGTGAGACAAATTAAGATTTTTCTTTTATCTCTGTGGTTAAAGATGGCATTTTTGGTCCCTTTTAGTTTCTTTGCAAAAGTTGCTATTGCAACGAAGAAAGCTGCCCCTTTTGTTTAATTAAGGTGATCCTTAGATGCCGGCCAAAGACCATTTTCATCTGACCCATGGTGTGATATCGTTGGTACTGAGATAATCATCACAGATAGCATAGGTAATGTATATAGCACATTTTTTCCCATGAGATTCCTAATTCCAAAAGTCATTATAAAAAAATTATTAGTCGCACCTCTATTTAGTTTCATACTTTGACCCATGATAGTATTTACAGGAAGGTATACATTGTACACCTTATGCCTGAAAAGAAAAAAACTGGCCCCATATATGTAAACATCAGGTTAACTTCCAACTTTTGACTTCAGTGGAAAAGAGGACGAATTCCTGTAGTTAGATTCTAGACCTGGGAGTATCTAGTCAGTGTGTTTCTCGTATGCACATTCTTTTAGGATGGTGGCCATAAAGTCATTCCTTGATACGGCAAAATTTTCTTCATTTTTGTTACACGAGATCCCGTAGTATGTGATGTAGTTTGTGAGTGTGATTCACGGTTATGGATTGTGCAGGTTACTGGTTTACGGGTTTGACGTTGCCTCGCCTCTCGCTGCAGAATCCATGAGAGAGTCATTGTGATGGTGTTACCGTCCGCAGTATAGTCGCTGCGGTGTCTTGTCTTCTTTTACTAGTGGGAAATGTTGAGGATAAGGGGGATGAGAGGCCTGAGGGGACTGTGTCCTCCCCAGAATGTGCAGGCCACTGGTCTTCTCCATGTGGCAAAAGATCTTATACATCACCCGTCAGTCACTGGAGTGGTCCGTGGTCTGGACAAGAGGCAGTCCATGGTTGTTTCATCAACTTTATTTGATTGACAGGTCAAGGTCACTGCTCCCATTCTGGTTATCTTCCCATTGTTGGTGTTTTCAAATTGAGGGAGGAGGGTTCAAAGTGCTTGAGTGACCGGTATAGGTTCATGGTACGCGTCTGAGAAGATGAAGTACTTGAGATTTGACACTCCGTGCACACATGATGAGGAGTGGATGTTATCACATCAACTTTCCTTACACCCAACCTCAGCGCTAAACTTAATTTGTCAGTCTGCTATGTGGTCCTGATGGCCAGCACCTTAACAACAGTACGAGTCACCACACATTTATCCATCAACTGCTCGCAGTCTATTTTTATAAATTACAGACTGTTGCTGTTATTGCATGCAGAAAACTGGTACGAATGTTGCGCTGTGGTATGTGCTGGGTGGCCTCCTCTAAGTTTCAGTTTTGAGTTTCTTGTTCATAGGTTTTCTGAGTTTAGAATGGATTAAAAAGATGCAGTTACTTGTGTTTGCTTTGGTGTTGCGGGAATAAGCTCTAGAGCTTTGCTTATAAGGTAATGGTCTATTATGTAGTCAATTGGCCCTCTGCATGATTGGTCAGCCTGACAATGTGGCTTGGTGCAAACGGCCGTGCTGTTCTGACAATTTGGGTGTGTAGGGCTGAAAGCGTGCGACTGTGACAGCTTTATGATGGAATTCTTATATTGTATAGAGGATCTGAGAAACCCTTGTGATGCTGGGTGGAAAAAGTGGAAGGGTATAATTTGAGCAGTGGGGTCAGTGGTCAGTTCCTTTGTGTTCTCCTTTTGGTATCTACACAGGAATGTTATCTTCCTTCATGGAAAGTTTCGCTGTTGAACTTTTTATTTCTTACATCTACTTTCCAGTTGCTGCTGCAAGTGGCCGAGAATATCATGTATTACCTCAACAGATATCACTCATTGAGAGAGATCGCTCTAGATTGCTCACTATTTTTGTCACATAGCATATTTTTGTGGTGTATGTCTGTGTGTGTGGGATTGCATATGTGCACTTTACTGGGGTTGTTAATTATGTAGTTGTTTGTGCAAAGATACAACTGAGCATTAACACTGCATTGCCTCAAGCCTTGTATCTGAGGCTAGTACCCTGGTGGGTTTTGTTTTTAAGTCTTTTATTCTAAGGCTTTTGTACGTGGGCTAGTGTGTAGCTGTCGTGGCTATCCATAGTGGCTGTCAGGACAAATACATTGTCTATTGATAGCTGCATTCCTTTCACCAGACTGTGTAGCTAACAGTATTTCCTGTCTCTTTAATTTTTCCCTCCCCGTATTTTGTTAATATCTGTCTCTTTATGCTTATTGGTTATGTTTTAGAACATGCTTAATCTTTGTCCCAGTTCCTTCTCAACCGCAGCTGTAATGTGATCACTATTTCAGCACGTTTTCCCTCCCTCCAATTTTTTCCCAGTTTCCTGGTCAATTAATAGTCAGTTAGTTTCACCCTTTGTTAGTATGCTCACAGTAAGTACCTATTCTAGAACTGACAAGATGGCAATGTCCCATGTTTTTATTCTTCATCGCGCCCCCTTCTCGTAAAATGTATGTCCCACAATTGCGCTGTTCTTTTCTGCTTCTTTTGATTTTCTTGGAAATCTGTCCAAGCCGAATTCTTCCATTGTTTCAATTTCAAAACTGGGCATGAAAGGGTCTTTCACGTTGAAAACTTTTGGATGGCGCATATGGTCTGTCTCCCCCAGCCCAGTCTGTTTCCTTCTCCCGATATTGTACTGGTGAGTTTATGAAACCGAAAATTTGATACCTGCTGAAATGTATATATGAATTCCCAGTTTTGTGGGTCTATACTTCTCCAAAAAAATTTAAGAATCAACATTTTGCATTTTCAACTTAGTTTCAGATAATTCTTGATCAGCCACTTATTTTGCAGAGGCTAGTCTCTAGACAGTTTAAAACTCATTATTACCTACCGTCTCCCTTTCAACTCCACTATATAAAGCAGAATACCATGAAAACCTTTGGCCATTGACATTCAACTGATTAATGCCCGAAAAGAAAAGAAAGTCTATGCTGTGTGTTGTAGCTGTCCTCTTTGCCCAAAGTTTAACCCACGATCTGTTGACGTCTGAAAGGCGACAGAAATTGTTAGCCATCAACATTCTTGACAGTAGTGCAATAAAATTGCTGTGAAACCTGCTTCCACCGAACGTTAATTCAACGAAATCTAGAGCTCACCTTTTCTCCTGCAACAAACCTTGTCTATTCCATTACGAGGGACTGTCGATCTCCCTACATCTTGGATCGTTTCACACCCAGGACTACAGCGTATAACACAATGTAAATTGTGAGTAACCTGTCAGAGACACAGCCATCTTTTGGAAACAATCAGAGGTTTTTCTCACACACACCAGCATGTGGTGTAGACACGTATGAAAGCCATGTATCTGAGTATGTGTTTGAGTTCAAAGGGTGGTTAGCTCCTGTGCTGATGTGTAAGGGGGGAATGGGGAGTGAATATATGAATATATCAGGCTTGGATCATTGTCAGAGATTCTGTGTGTAGTCAGAACATCATTATTGTATTTTTTATCTTGCTACTGAACAGTGATAGATAAAGATCTATATAATGAGTTTGGGAATGTACCAAACATCTGACAGGTCTTGTCATAACTGGTCCTAGAAGTCCTAACACTAACAGTAAGCCCTACAGTGTAGCTTGTGAATGTTTCACCTTACAGTCAGTACTAAATGGCTATGTCAAGCATGTTGAGCTGTTCAGTGGTGAGGAGCTAGATGTCCAGAACAATGAAAGGCTGTCAGACGTCTTTTTTTCAAGTATTTGTTGACCTTCTCCTCTGTTTGTTTCATTTTTTCCTCTCTGTGTCTTGTTTTTCTCTGTGGTTTTCATTTTCCCCATCACCCACTTTCAAACTTAGCAGCTTTCTATATTTTTCAGAAAAACCAGTAAACTGCATATTTCCTGAAAGAAGAATGAAGTTTTAACGTTTTGGCGGCATCTCATTTTAGAGCAGTATTTCTTACATATTCTAAGACCTAAAGTCTTAAATTCTCTTCCACACTACAGTTGGTAACTATCTACTATAGGATAAGCTTGATATGGATTTCTCAATTCTGCCAACTTTAAATTGGAAAATGTGGGCAGTTGCGTAGCAGGTGTGACAAATTAAGCTTGCTGTTATTGTACTGTAGGCTGTCCTTGTTCAAATCTTTCCAACCTGACGCCCAGCTACTGAAATTCTAAGAAGAGCTGAGCATGCCCTGAAAGGAATGACTGAGGTTTGTGGGTCAGGTGTGGTCTGTAATTGGCCTAAGTCCGTGTTTCTCTACTAATGCACTTCTGGATTATCATCTGTTTGGTTTAGCTAATGAAAAGTGCAGCTCTGTGTGAGGAAAGGGACATGTAAATGATTATTTGTGTCCTTTGTAACAACCGGCTTTCAATGACGTTTGAGTGCCTCTCACCCCTGCCCTAATCCTTTGGAGTCCTATGTCTGTTGTGCAGAGTTTTGGTTTACACACCAGAGATGAATATTGTATTAATTGTACAGTGATAAGATGTTTGCTTTTTATAAACCCCCAACTCATTAAATTGAGACTGACATATTAGACTTGCTCTGTATTATGTTTGGAAAACGTGTAGCAAACTAAAAATACTAAATCAGATGCCTTTGAGACAGTTATACTATTTGTTTACTCATGGGGAAAAAAAGTAACTTTTAGTTATGTTTTTCAGGTCTGTTCTAGAGCCGGTGTATAAATTGTCATGTTTTTTGTTTGTTTTTTGGGGGTTTTTTTCGACCAGAATAACTGAGGGGGTATCTTCAATATTTTTAACTTGTGGAAACAAGTCCCATGACTTTTGTCTTCTTTCGAAGAAGTTGTGTTAACTAATCGTTGAATGATTTATTTCTATGAAACAACAGTGTGGAAAATTATGTTTTGAATTGATCCTCAAGTAGTGTCATAAGATCATGAATTAAGAAATGCAAACTAGTCTGTAAAATTAAACCAATTTTTAAGATGTGTTGCTTATCAACAAAGTCGCCAGATTAGTGATTGAAGATGTTTTTCAATATTTTTTAATCAGAGTAGAGAACTTAAGGCATAGTTTTCCTCCTCCAAAGTTTTGTTCTGCCTTATCATGGTATATGTAGGGAGAGCCAAGCCTGACGGAGGGCACTTTGGCTAGTGTCTGCCCATGATGTGCGTTTATGAAACTGCGAGTGTGGTTGTTTGCTTGCTTGATGAATGGGCCCACATTGCCTATCAGTGTGATTCAAATCAATCTCTTTTTCTGAGGCTGCCTTGGTGCATCAATATTGTCGGGCATCTCCAAACTGCGCCTCATGTCACTTGTGTGTGAGCATTTGTACGCGTGTGTGTTGGTACTTTTGGCAAGGATAGAATGTCCGAACAAATATATTTTTCCCTATAGGTTTGCCTGTGTTGGTTTTATGGTTTGTATACGTATTTGTAGAATGTACAGATTATTTCCCATGGACATACCATTCATGCAAATGTACAAATATATCTGAACAGACTGAATCTGTGTTGATTGTTTTTGTTGTGTATTGTTTGTGATAAGCAGAGAAATTGTGACTTTGGATAGTTCTTTTCCTTTCTTTTGTTAAGCCATTTTTCATGTTACTGTTAATTTCCTTGTCCAAACATAATTGTTGGTTTTATTCTCATGTTGTGTTGTTGTTATTGTTGTGAAGTAACTCTTCCGTTTGTTTGATCTGTTTTAGTTGTTGACACGAAGCGATGGCTTGTACATCTTGGTACGAATATTCCCTGAATTGCTTCACCACAGGTTCTCCCATCCTCGGCCAATCTGAGCACTTTTAGAGATTTTGCTAACAAAGAATGCGTTTGTGTGGTTTTGTGTTTACGTGGACCTGTGTATATTCGACTTGATGATTCTAATAACTGTTATAAAAGCTGAGAGTAAGAGTAGCATCACTTGACCCCCCTCCCCTGTTTTCTTTAGTAGTACTAGTAGTCTTCCCCCTCCCCCCCCCCCAACCTCTCTCTATAATCTCTCTCAGTACCTCTTCTGCACACCTATATTCTCTCTCTCTCTCTCTCTCTCTCTCTCTCTCTCTCTCTCTCTCTCTCTCTCTCTCTCTCTCCTCTCTCTCTCTCTCTCTCTCTCTCTCTCTCTCTCTCTCTTTCTCGCCCCCCACCCCACTCTTCCTCAAACGCACAGGTACGCATGTATACTTTCACTTTCTCATGCTCACCTACACCCATCTGTTCATATGGTTCCAGGTTACAGTATAATTCCTCGTAAATAGTTTTGTCAGGGTAAGAAAGAGACATTGTCAGTGTGTATCTGCTCCCCACAAAGTCACTGTTGGTTGTTTTCCTACCTGTCTGTAACATGGATTTTTGTCGTCTTACTGTTTTATAAGCATGGCAAGATTGCCTTTGCATTCATATGGGAATTATTTAGTAAGCATGGCAAGATTGCCTTTGCATTCATATGGGAATTATTTAGTAAGCATGGCAAGATTGCCTTTGCATTCATATGGGAATTATTTAGTAAGCATGGCTAGATTGCCTTTGCATTCATATGGGAATTATTTAGTAAGCATGGCTAGATTGCCTTTGCTTTCATATGGGAATTATTTAGTATTCAATGAGCCCTGGATTTTTTTTATTAATTTTTTTTAAGGTTGGGGATGGGGGATCCTAGAAACTGGAGTTTAAAAATGTTATATTATATAGTTGAAATAATAACCGACAATTTGGAATTCTCCTTTTTACCGTACCATCACCAATCTATTACATGGATACTGACAGTGCGTGAGAGACAAGTGTAGTAAAGCGTATGTGTACCCTGGGTATTGCTGGTAAGCGGAAGCTGTGCTTGCTTTTCTCTTGGGCGCTGGGGAACTTGCTTCCAGGGTATTTTTGTGCCGCAGATGTTGTGAAAGTAGTTCCCAGGTCCATGTGTCCGGCGGGTGCAATGGACCAAACAAAAAACAAACGAAAAAAACGCCACTCTGTATGAACTTGCGACTTAAATGTTTTGACTAGTTTTTTTTAAAAATTGAGTAGCTTTTGTAGAACCCTCAGTTTAAGAACATGTCACAATTGAGTATTCGTATAGCATGATTTGACTTTTCAGAAGATAGCCTTCTGTTTTATTGTTCCCCAGATTTGAGCTTGATAAAACTACATAGCCATATTTGTATTTGCCGAGTGTCGGGCCGACTCAGTCGGCTGTGTCAACGATCATACGTTGTTACACTTAACCAATGCAATGTGTGTACTGGTTACGGACCCGTGTGGATCCATTTCACCTTTGAAATTATGTATGCCCAGAGAGATATATTGATCTTTAAAAAATTAGATTAACAAGAAATGAAACTGAGGCATTTTTAAAAAATTGGGCTTCGAACTCCTGTGCTTGAAATTGAAAGCGATTACATATGTGTGTGCTAGAAGTGTGCTTGGTATGACAGCTGTATGACTGTGTAGGGCGCCAGTGTGTACATAATGATAGATACATGTGTACCGTATGTTTTGTATACAAATAAATTAACTGATACTGCAGAAGAGAGAATCGGGCACGGCCCATTTCGGGGGTCTTGTTTTGTCGTGAGACCGTTTGTAACTGAGATTGTTTGTAACTTTGCACATGTACCGCATCTATTGAACTGAATTAAATGTCTTTTTTCTGACAGCATTCTTCTACTGTGTTGAAGACTGACCTGCTTGCTTAAAAATGTTGCTCGTAGTGGGGTACAGTGTTGTTTGTGTGTGTGTGTGTAAAAGTTGTTTTATTTTATTTTTGGCTTTTTTGTTTCTTTGGGGGGGGGGGGTCCGATTGTACTAGTAGCTACATGTACTTTCTTCTTTCATGTGCGCCTTACTTTGAATCAATTGTGCAGTACGCTACGCCTTTTTGCATTTTTCTTTCGGTCTTGGGGGGTGGTTGGAGCGCCGCGCCGCGCCGCGCCACTTAAAGGTCCTATTTCAGTCTTGCTTTTATACAAGCACAACATGATTGTTATTGTGTCGATATATTTGTCTTCACTCAATCTAACTGGTGTGCAATCAGTTAACTTATAGACTTATAACTTCTTTTTCTTTCCTAATCCTTACTATTGTCATTTTTCTTCTACTTCTTTTGTATGTCTGTCACGCTCTTGTGACCCACTATTTCCGGGGTGCCTTGATAGTCGAAGTAGGTTTTGTGCTGTTGAAGCTTAGAGGTGAGCAGAGTAAGTCTGATTCCCTGTAAGGACTTCTCTGTTGACATCCACCCCTTGGATGACCTTATGCCCTTGCGAGCGCTGTAAAACCTCTATTATAACAAACAATCAAGACTTAATAAAACTTACGATGATAAATACGTACGTGTAGTCTCGTGAGAAATATTATTTCCAATTGTGGGAATACAATCGAACCTGCTTCACCGGTCACCTGTATAAGACAAGACAATCACCTGTACAAAGTACAATGTACCACTTTCCTTTTCTTCCTTTGCCTGTTTTTTTTTGTTTTTTTCTTAATCTTACGTTAAACTGACACTACATAAGACGTCCACCTATCTAATACAATCACTGTTCTCCTTGACAATTGACGGCCGTCTTAAATTGTTTCGATTGTACATGTACACTGTATTTCCCTTAGCTCAAAGTCCTGGGGGTATAGGAATAATGGCCGATACATGTATATATATATATATATATATATATATATATATATATATATATATATATATATATATATAATATATTATATATATATATATATTATAATAATAATAATAATAAGTTTAAAGGTCCCTTGGTGGTCCAAAAGTCGACAAAAGAAGAGTAGGCTTCGGCCGCCGCCCTGTCAAAAATAAAAATTAATTCTTCCTACCAAACTAAAAATGTTGAATGTGTCCCGCGCGCTCTTATGACTATGATCTTATGCAGCGCGAGCGCAAAACACTTGCCAAAACGAACAAGTTCAATGTCTACCCTCCACGACACTTGTCGAAGTCGGTTTACTTAAAAAGTCTGCTTCTCTTATGATTTTTGTTTTCCTTAGATGTGTCATGCGCCATCGTCGAGGTGACTCGTTGAGTTTCCCGTGCACTGATTGAAATAATAGGAAGGTATTATCAAAATGCTTTCCCTCCCCCCTTTGGCTCCCTTTCTTTCTTACTTTCTTTGGTTGTCTGCAGAAGGACAAGAAAATTCCCTTCACCGAATGTGCGCCCTTTGGCTAAGTCGTAACTAAAAATAAAAATGCGTACCAGCTAGGTTTGTTTTGTTGGTATCAGTAATCGATCTCATACGACATAACTTTTGTGTGTGTGTGTGTGTGTGTGTGTCACAGTGTGTGTGTGTGTGTTTAATTTTTCTTAACACAGCACAGAAAAAAGGGGGGGGGGGGTCGGATGTGAGCATTAAAATCACCTAAAAAGAACAAAGGGTTCTTGACGTTGACGTTTTATATCGTTTTTCAGGTTAGTTTTGAGAAGGTACATGTAGTTTTGCGAGATGTCATACTGTACAGATCGTGATAAGTCAGATTAGTCTGTTGCTGTGTGACGCTTACGGCAAAGAGGCTTGGGGGCACCACTTGCAGATCCTTCTTCATTTCTTCCCCTCTGTTGTTTCTGTCTGTCTTGCTATTTTTTCCTCTTTCAAACGTCCGTTGTCATGTGGATGTATGTGCTTCTCTGTACATGTACCGGGTACCCACAAAAAAAACAACCAACAGTCGTAGCATGTCTATCTTATAAGTTATAGTGACCTGTGACATGGCGTCTTAAGCACCTGTTACACGCAACGATAAATTGTGTCAGATTCGTCGTATGCGGCATGCGAGAACTGTCTGTTTTAGTTTTATCGAACTGAGTAGTCTGTTTAGACGTTCCAATCTATCGTCCAGTTTTCTTACGATCAGGGAGATTCCCATCCTCCGGGGCAGTGCCACTGACTGTAGTGTCTTAGGCCTTTCCCAAAGGGGGGACATTTCTCGTTGAAGCACAGTAAAATTGTAAATGGGATGATTCACCATGTCACGCTCATAACTGTGCCTGGTCTACAACAGGGAACTGCTGCTTTTTCTTTCCTAATCCTTACTATTGTCATTTTCCTCTACTTCTTTTGTATGTTTGTCACACTCTTGTGACCTGCTCTTTCCGGGGTGCATTGATAGTCGAAGCAGACCTTGTGCTGTTGAAGCTAGAGAGGTGAGCAGAGTAAGTCTGATTCCCTGTAAAGACTTCTCTGTTGACACCCACCCCTTGGCGCTCATGTGACCTCCTTAACCAGTTGCGAGCGCGTAAAACCCTCTACTAAAAAAAAAAAAAAAAAAGATTCCTAGTCTTTGACCTGACTGCAGATGTGCAACGTACCGAGTGACCTTGATACACAACTTCATCATTGCCAATCAACTAAATAATAAAATTTACATTTACATAACGCATCAAATCAGGTTTCCGCGAGCATCTTTGCTTATTTTGAGACGCTGATTCCGAATATAAAATGTGTTTTGGTGTGTGATGATTATTTTAAAAACTTTGAGCCCTAAGTTTAATCCTGCGCGGCGGCAAAGTGATTCTTGTTCACAGCGCGTCTCCCCCAAATCTGACCGTAATTGCACGAAAAATATCAAGCAGCGCTTGATTTCTCGACCGAGTCTCCAAGCCATCGGCCAATCGTCCAAACTTTGTACAATTTTATGGTTACCCCTGACTATTTGTCTCATGATCGATAGATCGTCCATTTTTTTTTTGGTACAATTTATCGTTGCGTGTAATCAGGGCTTTAGAATTAGCGTTATACTGTACGAGGGTTGTCCCACGGAAAACCGAAACTTGGCTGTTATTTGAAAACTGCATGTATTCAATATTTTCACATTCTGTAAACGCTCACAATTGTCTCCGTCTATCTGACTATCTGCTGGAATTGGAATACTGTGCCACGCTCAACCTATGTTGGCTCTGGGCCTGACATACAGCAATGAAGCAGCCGGCCGCAATAATGATAATATTAATCATAATAGATAATAATAATCGTGGCAATTTATATAACGCCTAATATTTTGAAGGCTCTAAGAGTGGTACAGTAGGCCTACAAAATTTATCACTCAACCAACGAATCAAAGAATAGAAAATATACATTGTGAGGCTATTTCGCACCACACACACCCGTGCACGCACGCACACACACACACACACACACACACACACACACACAAGCCTGCGCACGCAGTAGGCCTATCTTTTCAAAGTGCAAAATTTACTAGCAGAGGATAGTGTTGAACAATGTGTCTTCAGATATCTTGCACAACTTTACTGGGACAGAACGCCCAGAATGTTCGCTTTGCCCCACTCTCCATTTTTTTTCCCCAGGGAGGCAAGCTTTTGCAACCGACGCGCAATCGCATCTTGTTCTGAACTCGTGGAGGCGGGCGTATTGGTGCATACATATTATATAACATACATAAGTACTAGGGCTGAGCAATGAATCGCTTTAGCAAAATCCAGATAAAATGTTAGTGGACCTCTTCGGCGGTTCAATATATTTTGAACGGCTTCGGAAAATGGGTTAGAACCACTTCGAGAAACGGGTCAGAACCACGTCAACAAATGGGTGCGCTCACTTCGGCAAAACAGGTTAGGAAAGAGAGTTTAAGAGTGTGAATTCGGATAACGTTTCACTGAGAATTATCCGGTTATTCGGATAGGTTAACCGGATTTTGCCCACCACTAAAAAGTACATAACTATAAATAAATGCATACATTCAAACATAAAAATGCATACACACACATACCTAAATACGCAATATTACACCAATACATAACAATTTCACAACCGTGCCATTGCTGGTGGCCACTGTGCAGCTCCCTGTTTTTTTTAGCTAGGGTTGTCATGTCTTGCTCATGGACACAACCAGTGACCACCCATCTGATTCCCGTGTCACCGACACTTGCCTGACTCTTTGACTTTACTCTTGAGCCGCTGGAGCCCCCGTGCAATCATACTGTTTGGAAGTCGCGCGGAGAAGAGAGGAGGGCGGGGCTGAGCATAATACAGAATTTGTTAGCCAAGTTTGCAAGAGCCTGAAAACAGAGCCAAGTCATCGATATAGCGGAGGGAGAGAGGACGAATAAAAGAGGCGATTGTATGGAGTTGTATATATTTTTTTTATTTTTTTTAAAGTTCGTCACTTTGGCCGCCTAAATTTTCCCAACCACGTAACTTTCGAATTTAACAAAATCAATGGTGGTTCAGAATCATTTAAAGGGTGCACAGTTTTACTGAGGAGCCTGAAGTCACCGTAGTTTAATTTTCAGTTTTTTTCATTAGTTTCGTTTAGACCTAATCTTGGGAAATTTCGCCTTGTAAGACGCCATTGTAAACAAGTGAGGTTTTCGTTCACTAGCCGTGCGCAACTTTGAAATTATGGAATGCACAACCACGAAAGCGGAATAGGGAATCAATCCATACATTATTATATAATATTTGGCAACTTGGAAACACACGTGTCACTTTTCTCTCAAGATTTGTTTGGTCAATTCCAGCAGGGTGTAAAAAGAGTAGGCCATTCATTGACTATCAGTTAATGTTATTGCACCGATTATTCCTTTCATCAAAAAGGGGGGGGAGGGGGGGACAGCTAGTACATCATATTTGTGAAAGTGCGTCACTTTGGCCGCCAAAAACATCCAAACTACTTAAC